TGAATTTAACTTGATCAAATTTGATGTCACCACGAAAGTCAACCTACGCGAATCATATTGTATCCATGACTTGTACATGATTAAAACAAAATAAGTTGTCTTCTATATTCTCTTACCAATTCTTGTTCTTCACCAGATGTATTGTCGATAGCAGGTTTTCGATCAAATAAATCAAAAAATTCTTCAGCAGCTGAGATTGATGCAGCAATACGCCAAGATCTAGAATGGAGACTGTGAAAGGAAAAAACTCAAACTTCAAGAACAAGAATGTCACTTCATTCCGACAATTCTTAATGCTTGAATCGAAAAACCAGCAAGCGAACAGACCCTAATAAATTGAAAAGATAATGAAATTTTGTCTCTAGATTACCGAACTGTAGTTTTAATTACATTATAACACTGTTCGAGGTGGTCTCGTTCTTTTCAACTAGAACTAGAGCACGCCAATACATAAATGCCAAAGTATATATATCTAGTATCCAAAATATACCATACGCCGTTGAAGATAGCACCAAAAATTTCCAATAGAATCTATAACATAATAAGATTCATTAATAATTTTTAAACCTACAAGACTCGATTGACTAACATAGGCACTTCATAAATTATCTCAGAATATTTTCTTAATATTTCCTTTTCAATGGACAACTGTTTTACTGTACGCATGTTGTGAATAACTTCAACAGCAAGCTGTAAAAGTAAATGGCAGAATAAATATGATGGATACATTAAACTTATCAAGCAAGTGAGAACAAAATAACTTTTCCAACAAAATCAAAAATTATCAGCTATAGTATGATCTTACAGTGCTTGCTCGTCCAAGAATTAGAGTTGTTTGTTGATTCAGCGATATACGTAAGTATACATTTCCATAGGTGACTGCGAGTAGAATAACAAGAGGTACAGAAGTGATCACTGTCAATTGCCAGCTTATGAAATATCCAAATAGAATTCCAAAAACCGACAATGTAAGAGCTTCGCAAATGTTTCCTAATCGTATACCCATCGCCTCTTGAACTGCTAGTGCATTAGAAGAAAGACGAGCACAAATCGCACCTGAACTGTTTTCAGGTCGATCAAAATAAGCAACCTCTTGACGAAGAAGACACCCAAATGCTTTCAAACGAATACATTGCGTCAATTTCGATCCTGCTATGGCAAATGCTGTATACTATAGAAAACAGCGAATTAGTCATTGATCAATGTTAAATGTAGCATATTAACCTGAAAGAAACGTAGAATCAACAAAACAACACCTAAAAGTAGAAAAAGAAAGCTAATAGTCAACACATGACGATGACGATCAGAGTTTGAATAATATTTGAATGCCTACACGTAATGAACAAAATG